TTGCTAAGAAAGCTTCATTTGTGGGTGTTTGCGGTGAAGTCAGAGTACTGGCTTGTGGAGGCATGAAGGCAATGATAATTTCGACAACTCTTGCATTAAGTGTGCTCGTAGCTGCGGTGCCCTACGAGGTCATATGTTCCATGGCGACGTTTGAAAATCGTATTAAATATCATGTTAATTAACTGGACAATTTTTTGCATCTTGTAATATAAAGTATAATTAATCATTTTCTAGAATTTCCTTCAAAGTTAAAGTGTAATGTTTGATCTGTTGAAAAACTGGGCTCGGTATCTTCGATCATGTCCATTGGATTGGCGATCATGCGGCCTAGAATCCCCGGAAGCACGTGAGCTTCTAACAACCGGGAGCACCAGATATGCAATTGCGTGACCACATCTCGTATGCCACACATTTTGCAAAGGTCATATATTAAGTATAATGGGTCATTACAAACACATCCTAACCAAAAAAACATTAAATTCAAGTCATTGTGATGTCGTGGGTGTAGCTCGATGTCGGAGGCCACACCTTGGCCTTTGAAGTTTTATTTTGGTTTCTCGCAAACAAAATATATGCTAGAGACGGTCCATTAATCTTTTAAGCTATTGCTAAAAAAATTGACATTCATTATGGAGGACATATATTTAATTATTTATATTAACAGTTGTAGCAACGCACAAGCGTTTAGCTAGAATTTATATGTATTGTATATGTAGATATAATTGATAACTCAATGATTGCTCCTCTAAGGGGTGTATTGGGCAAAACCTTAGTCACCTCCGTCATCGGCTCCCTCCTCCAAGCCCTTCTCCCCCCGGTCGACGGGTTGCCTATGCCCGTGCGGCGAACACCGTAATAGGGTCGTTTTATGGCATGACATCAAGAACCCGTGGTAGGGGCTCGATACCATGCGGTTGTGTTGTGTGATGTCTTTCGGTGGCCGACAAACTTATTGGTAGCGTCTTTAGCCGATGGTAGCTTTAGCGCGATCCATTAGTGCAATAATGTCAGTAGATTGTGTGGACTTCATCCAGATAGCTCATTTCCAAAGAGCGGCGGTGTGGTGGGCCCAAGCCTTGTGCTCAAAGGGTTGGCGGTGTGTTGGTGTTTGTGGCATAGCATCTCATGCGGCATTATGGTGGAGGGACACCAGATCTAGCTGGGTGCCAACTGATATATCCCGTCGACTTCTGTTGGTGGTGAGGAGGATGGTTCATGGGTGGTGGTGATGTCGTCAATGTGCTGGAGGTGTGTGTGGGTTAGTAGGTTTGGGTAGGTAGTTGTGCGGTTTTTCTCTACCTTTGGTCGTTCACATAGGGAATATAGTGGCATACTGCTCTAGATGAATGCTTGCTTGGCTTTTGTCGACTCCGACAATACGATGCTCTTTAGTGTCGTTCTTTTGGGGTCATTGCGGAGCTTTCCAACCTCTCCCACCCTCGGGTCATGTCTTTGGCTGAGGGCCTAAGATCATGGTTGTATGGTCAGACGACATTAGCATTCCCACACCGTCTCTCTCATTGGGAGGCCATCTTGAAGAATTTGAATCCCATACATGCTTTCCCGGGCTCAATATGTATGTCCTCACAGTTTCCAGGTGCCTATACGGATGTTGTATGGTTGGTGTGCCGGCGGCTAGTGTGGCAACTATGATGGGGTCGAGCGTTGTTTCTGTTGCGACAAGGTTTTGGTAGTCGATTATTTAGCGTGTCCAATTTGTTGCTATGCTTTGTACTATTATTGCACATTCACAATTGTCGTGGCGTTTACAGGTGTTGCCAGTGACAGGCGACGAACGGTTCGACGATCCTCTTCGGCGTGGGACTTGTATACTTTCCTTCTCAGCTCGCCTTCAAAATTGTAGTTGTCTAACCGTTGGTGCATGGTCGGATGTTCGGAATGGACAAGTGTGGGCTTCATATATCCAGTTGCTAAGAAAGCTTCATTTGTGGGTGTTTGCGGTGAAGTCAGAGTTACTGGCTTGTGGAGGCGTGAAGGCAATGATAATTCCGACAACTCTTGCATCAAGTGTGCTCGTAGCTGTGGTGCCCTACGAGGTCATATGTTCCATGGCGATGTTTGAAAATTGTATTAAATATCTTGTTAATTCACTGGACAATTTTTTGCATCTTGTAATATAAAGTATAATTAATCATTTTTTAGAATTTCCTTCAAAGTTAAAGTGTAATGTTTGATCTGTTGGAAAACTAGGCTCGGTATCTTCGATCATGTCCATTGGATTGGCGATCATGCGGCCTAGGATCCCCGGAAGCACGTGAGCTTCTAACAACCGGGAGCACCAGATATGCAATTGCGTGACCACATCTCGTATGCCACACATTTTGCAAAAAAAAACCTTGCATTATCCAAGAATCAATCTGTAGTCCAATCTTTATGTAGATTTTGCTTTTGCAGAAAGCCCCCTTATGTGTTTGTTAATCAACACACGGTCTAGTTTTAAATCAGATTTTCTGCTTTTGCATGACACCCCCCAATGTTTCTGTTAATCAACCTATAGTCGAGTTTGAAGTCAGATTTTTACTGATTAAAAGTATCTATATCTTTAACCGTAACTCTAAATTTAACAAGTCATGTATGGATTTTTATTACAAAAATGTGTAGAATTTGAATATGATATTTATCACAAAAATGTGCATGATCCGTCTTTGTTTCGTACCGATGCCGATCCATATTGGAAATGAACACCTAAGCAAAACCAAAATCATCTATAACCACACATGCATGCCTCCTCAAAACCTCGCGGAAAAAGGCCGATTACTCATCTTATGTCGCGAGAGAGACGTCATAGGATTGACCACATTCAAACGCATTGTGATTGTGTGAGCACATATGGAAAACACATATGAGATGTCATGTGCTGAAATAAAGTACATAGATATTGGGGTCTTAAGTAATGGTTATTAGGCTAGGCTTTTCTTCCATTGCAACCCTCGGTCTCTTTTGCTAGTGTTATCTCATATCATGTCGACTCGACCGACGGTGTGAACAAGGTTACATTGTACGGGTGTACGTACGTTTTTTTTTCCAACCGGGTTCACACCCCTTTCCATTAATTTTGCAATCAACGGAAATACATCAGTCTGTTACTGTTGTTTGGAGAGCAACGCAAAATGAGCATCGAGCCGAATAAGACCAACTACCAAGCAAAGGAGACTGAAAGGGGAAGAGCGGGTTGGTGCATCGCCAGGAAACCCACTGCATGATAGCCCTGAAGCGGACTATTAGCCGTGGGGCGAAAACCTGACGACACAATCAACCAAAGCTCGCTACAGATTTAACCTGACTAGAGTCTAGCCTTGAGAGGATAGAATAATCAACACCAAAAGGAGCGATCCAGCGGGCATCAAACCCCAGTGGATATAAGGCTAAGCTAAGATGAGACTATCATGATCTAACCAATCTGTATGCCATCACCATCTCCCAGCAGAAGCCTGCCACGCGCATAAGGTCTGTCCGCCAGCGCCGCTGCCACATGAGCCAGTCTCTTCACGCCATCCTGGAATTTCCTCCTGTCATCCTCCTTAAGCAACCCTGCCCAGTATAACATAAAAGAGCAAGCGGTGAAGACAGCCTCCAGCAGAGAACGAGCATTATACTTATCAAAAGTAGTTTTGTTGCGAAGGCACCAAATTCCCCAGCATACTGCCGCAATGACCATCATATAGAATTTTTTGCCTCCAAGGAACAAATTATACATCCAAGCCAGACTTTGCCATATTGACCTGGGAGCACAGGAGGCCCCAACAGTCCACCCCAGCACCCCCCAAATTGTGCGGGCGAGAGGGCAAGTGAAAAAAAGATGGTTAGCAGTTTCCACATTAGTACAAAAGAGCACACCGGGTTCACTGGCCAATTCCTCCGCCGCATGTTATCGCGCGTGAGAACAGCATTTTGGAATAATTGCCATAGGAAAATTTTTATTTTCAATGGGATAGTCGCTTTCCATACCCACTTATAATTAGGGCCAGATAAGTCTCTCTCTAGCCACTTATATACAGATTTAGTGGTGAATCTACCTCCCCTATTCAGAGACCAGGAAATAGCATCAGGGTTCTCATTCAGATGCAACTTCTTAGCCTCACACACCATCCACTTCCATTGTTCCTCCAGCTCTCCAAAGAGTCTACGTCTGAAGGGAAGATTATATTCATTGTCTACAAAAGAGGCGATAGAACAATCTTGATCTTGACAGATATCATACAAAACAGGGAAACGTTACGGCAGGATATCATTTTCCACCCACGGTGTACGTACGTGCAGGTTGATAATGTTCCTAGCTGCCGGAGACTGTATGGCCTGCATGCGCACAGCTGCGACCCCATACCAGCTGGCTGGACCGACGTCTGCTGTACTCGATCCTTTGCCACTAACCTAACCAGGCCTGAAATGGCTAACCAACTCAGCGTCTCCTGGTTCTAAAAAAAAGGAAAAAAAAACTTAGCATCGCTTCAGAACACGAGTCCTGTGCATGGCAACGGAGTATACACTGCCCATGCCTACAGACATGATCGGTTCATTTTGCTCGTTATATAAGCAGCTGCTTAAACCTTACCCAGAAATATTAATACAAGCTCAAACGTTAGTGCAAATCACAAAGTCCAGCACCAATCCAGCTTCAGAACGAGTATATAAAAGTAAAAACATAAAGTAAAAAACGTCATGTAGTAGTAGAAACCAAGAATCTCACCGCGACACCCCTTCTACACTCGAGTCCAAAGAGGCAGAGACTTAACCGGTAACCACACGACCATCTACCAGCCGCGCTCTTAACTCCCCTCCTAAATCACCCTCAACCCACAACCACCCCAGCAGAAGTAAAGCCATCCTACTAGCTTCGGTCTCTCCCCTCCCCTGTATATAAACCCTGCTAGAGCCCTCACTCTCTCCACCCACACTCAAGCCAGCGCCACTCACACAAACTACACTCATCCACTCAAGCAAAAGCTAGCGGCGTAGTAGCTCACTTCAGTCCAGTCGGCATGGCGGCTCCGAGGGGTGCGGCACTGGTGCTGGCGATGGTGCTCGCGGCCATGGTGGTGGCGCCGCCGGCGACTGTGCACGCCATATCCTGCTCCACGGTGTACAGCACGCTGATGCCGTGCCTGCAGTACGTGCAGCAGGGCGGGTCGCCGGCCCGGGGCTGCTGCACCGGCATCCAGAACCTGCTGGCCGAGGCCAACAACAGCCCCGACCGCCGCACCATCTGCGGCTGCCTCAAGAACGTCGCCAACGGCGCCTCCGGCGGGCCCTACATCACCCGCGCCGCCGCGCTCCCCTCCAAGTGCAACGTCGCCCTCCCCTACAAGATCAGCCCCAGCGTCGACTGCAACTCGTACGTCTCCACACATACTCCCTCTTTCTTTTGCTCCTTAGTTATGGTAAGTGTTTGACATGCATGAGCTCTCTTCTTCGTTTGCGTGCAGGATCCACTGAACGAACCTGTCGACGTACGTCTGCCGTGTGAGGAGTCCCATGTCCGGAGAATAAATTGCTGCTACTACTAGTACTGAAGCTTAGCTAGGCCTTGGCGGCCAGATCCGTGTCGTTCTACCTAGTCGTGTGGTGTGTGGTTTTAGGGTCGATGGATCTGTGTGTGCACGCAGTCCATGGTGTTGTGGCCGGGGTGCCGGTAGGTTCCACGAGCAGAGCAGAGTGGTGAACTGATATTGTGTGCGCCGTACTATGTGCGTCTCTATGTAATGTGCGTGCTTTATCTATAAACTATCCATCGTTAAATATCTGTGCCCTTGGAGCTTTTCGTCTTGATTTTATATATACCTGAACTCCTGAAGTGAACACTAGTGAACATTGGCCGGCTGGCTAGAGTCCAGGACATGATAAAAGGAGTGAAAACAAATTGGACGAGTGTGGGACAAATTAGAAACACCATCGATCAAATGTCAGCAATATAATTATAAGTGGTATAATGTTGTACTTTGAATTCAATGTAATCAAAAGCAAATTGAAATCTGATAGTATATAGATGCTAGGTTTTTTTAAAAAGGAAATGTATTAATATCAGTGAGATATCAATTACACCCGACCTCTGCAACATATCGTAATGTTCTAAAACATTACGGATGCACACAGCCCAAAAAGAAGAAGAAGAAGAAAAGATCCTGCTAGAGTGATCAATTCCTTATAACCGTGGCACGAATTACCACCAAAACATCCAAAGTTTACACGCAAAAAAAAACATCCAAAGTTCAAATTCTTCAAAAGCGACGCCTTCAAGAAGGAAACGTTGCACAAGCGCGCGCTCTCAAAACAATGTCTTCAACAAGGCCACTGCCAGGCACAACCAATTAAGGCCGGGCCTTGGGTTTTCACTCTGAAAGCTAAGACTATGTACTCCTTCTATGCCACCGCCCCCACTTGTCGATGCCCCTGCTACGAGTCACGAACCACCAAGCAAAGTCATCATCTCCTCGAAGGCTCAATCCGCCATTACTAGATTTCAGACCTCTGCCACCATGACGTTCTTCGACACTGTCTTCATCATGCATGTTCCATAATGTCAACAGTCAACGAAGCTTCGTGTCACGTCCTTCTGAAGCCACACGGGCTGAAATAGGGGCAGACATGACCGAATCCCATCCAATCTAGCAATTTGCAGGCGTCAGACACCCAATAAAGATCTTCAGCGAAGCCTAGGTTTAGGGGTTGTGTGTCATCTTTAACACACCAAACCATTGCTCATGTGAGTCACTTAACATGCCCCTCTTGAGATTATTATTTTTTCAAGAAACGTCTTGAGATTTTCTCTACAGAAATATCACACTTCGCGTTGCCATAATCTGCAGCCACCGGCTCATTCTTTGAATTAAATTCCCGCTGGACATATTATAACATTGTTGCAGACGATCTCTGATACTTATAGTCATGACATAATTGTGCGCATTATACCTGAATATTATTTTTTGGAGCATGTTTTGCAGAAAATGTTAGTGATAAAGGTTAGGCCAGCTCAAACGCACGATCCCATCTGGTCTGGGTATGTCCGTTTTGGCCCAAACGGACAGATGCCAAGGCCCGACACGCTAACTCATCCCCATTTTTTTGTATGTTTGACGTCTGGCCCGCCCCATTTCCAACGCAAAATTGTGCCCGGTTTGCATTCAGATGGACGGCGAACGGACGCCCATGCGCCCGCTAAGCGTCCGCCTCGGGCCCGCATGGCGGCCATCCACTGACCTCCCACCGCCCGCATTTACGGCGCACACGCGGGCGGCCCCGCCTATCAGCCCCCAGCCGTGGGGACGGCGTCATTTTTAATGTGGAAGCCATGGACTGGTCAGTCCACACTTTCACTCACGGCGATGTGTGCCTCCTCGAAGTCTGACACGCCCAAACCCTAGCTCCGGCCGCCTCCTCTCCTCCACCTAGCCGCCGGGGGATGGGCTGGCATTCGATGCCCGGCCGCAAGGGGAAGCACGACCACGAGGCCGGCTCATCCTCCAGCCGCCACGGCAGCTCCTCCTCCACCCCCACCTCCAGCGTTCCACATCTAGTCTTTTATGCCTTTTAATTTTAAGTTTAGTTAAGAAATGTGTTGGACTGGACTTTTGTGGACGTTAATGTTTATATTAATGTTTTTAAATTATCTGTAATGTCTACTTGAGTTTGTTTTGGGGTCAAATTTCTAAGTCCAAAAAGCGGACAGTTTGGGATGCGGCAAGCCGGTTGGACGCACCGACGGCTGCACGACCACGACCGGACGCGCCTGACTGCTTTGCCGACCCAAACGGACGTCCGTTTGGAGTCGACGGTTGGAGTTGGCCTTACTGAAGGACATCCTAATATACAGGAATGCATGATAAAGGTTCCAAAAGCACACGGCGTAGATGAAACTGATTCACCACGTTCAAGATGCTACTCATGCTCATCAACAGGACACTCTCCTCTTAGCTCTCGTGTTGCATTGAAATGCAGACCTGCCAGGTTGACCAATTTACTGGACAAGAATGAAGTGCTAGATATTGATGGGGAGCAAGAAGCAAACATATCAAATGAGAAACATAAGCAGAAATTCCCCAACTGCAGCTCCTCATTTGGGATGTGGAAGGCCCCTCGACCTCATCCTACAGTTCCATCTTCACCAAAATCTTGCAAAGAAATATATCAGAACTGCTCAAACATAGACAAGACTTTGCAAGATTTGGAGGATGGAACTTTACCCCTAACCTGCCACCATCAACTTGCTCAGGAAGAGGCAATGGGCACCTTGAAGGTGGGATCTATGTGTGATTCAGATGGAAATGACACAAGTCTATTTGAATGATCTTCTGATAATTTTTCTCACTCGGAGAGTGCAAATCACATAGCGTGACTAGAGTGCAGGATATCTCTGAGGACTCACGAGATCCACAACCTCAATACTTTTATGGATTTTCAGTGAATCCATCCTCTTTTCGGGGCAACCTCAAGATGCTCTGCTGCTGATACTTATCATCATGATGGGTCTTTTGGTTTTCATGACAAGAACTTGGAACAAGACACTGATGATAAGTTGCTTAGAAGAACTAAAGAATTAGATGCATGCTTTATGGTTCCTTCTGAAGAAATGAGCGAGCTTAACATGCTCAGGGATAAGAGATTGAACTCAACTGACATTATGCAGCTGGTTCTCAGCTTGATTGAAGACAGAAAACAATTGGAGCTCGAACTATCTTCACAGATTAAGGCACGTCTTACCGAAAGGTTTGCAGCCAAAGAACAATATAAGTGATCCAAGGTAGAATTAGACTCTAGGAAGGCAGGAGAATGAGAAGACTGCTGTGCAAACTGTATCTAGTGTAAAAAAACGCTCTTGTATTATGGGACGAAGCTCAAATGATTGGTCAGCCAGGCTAGCCGAAGAACAGAGACTATGGGCTAGAGTAATTGAGCTAGCAGAGCAGAATGTATCATTTCAAGACAAGTTAATTTGCTTGAATCGAATCCAGTGGAGGCTTCTAACGGGATTACAAGTTGGAATTGCAGAACAAAAAACTGAATGATGAGCTGGAGAAAGATAAAAGCACACCAGTCTTTATAGATCCTCGGTAGAGTTGCATGATAGCTTTACAAAAGCTGCAGAAGAAAGGGGCCAAATCCAAGAAAGCACCAGGTAGAACTTCATTTCGTATCATCTAGTACTAAATTTGTCTAGATACAATGTATCTAGACAAATTTAAGACAAGAATTTTGGGACGGAGCGAGTATTATTTAGACGTCAACTGCTGGCTATTTTTGTGATAGCTGATAGTTCTATATTTCACTCTTCTCATGGCATAATTCAAGTGTGGTGGTATTATATTTTTATCCCGATGTGCTACAAGAGATGAGAATAAATTTCTAATGGCAAAGCATATTTCAGTTACTCTGCTAATGGTATGTACACGATTGTGCTAGTGCAGAGTGACATGTGTAAGAATTCAGTATTTAGACAGACAACATTTTCTTGAAATGTGTGCAGAAGTTGGAGAGATCCATTGGCATCTAACAAAGGAATCGGTGACTTCACTATGAATTGAGTTGGTATACTTTACCTTCCTGCTTTGATATTCTTTGGATCTTGTAAATTTCAATTATACGCCCTCCGTCTCGGTGAATAAGTCATTCGCGTAGTTCTAAGTCGACGATTTAACAATCTAAATATGTGTTATGTGATAAAAATATATATTTAGAAACTACATCCGTGTAGAAATCTAGTGATATACTTTTCATGACATAAAACATATATTTAATTCACCTAGACGGAGGAAGTACCTTTTTATGCTCAGGTTAAGAGCATCTCTACCGGCACCGGAAAAAAAAAAGTCACCCCAAGACGCTGAATTCCGCTGGTTCGGCCCATTTTTTGGCCCAGCGATCATAGGCTAAACCCAGCGCACTAGGGGGCTCCGTCGGAAGGAAAAGTAGCGCATGGACCATCACTGTCAGGCAAGAAATGCCTTTTTCCCGCAGAATTTGGGCCGAAATCAGCGGCTAGGGGGCTAACTTTGGGCGGTCGGCTGGGAACTAAACAAGACAAGTCGAAGAGGATGAAAGATATCTTCAAAACTGGTGAAATCACAGCAGCCAGACTACGCCATTCGTTATCAGGTCCAGAACGTGGAGTAAATTAAGAAACAAAACAAACCACGAGGCAGAGGACAACATCAACAACACAAAGCAGCATAGGTAGAAGCCAAGCATCTATAGATAAAAAAGATCGATTGCCATAATTATGTAGCGTCCATTGACGATAAAAGAGAGTAGCATAGTTCCACAAACCAACACTTGACGGCAAACAGAGACATCCTGAAACAGCACGATTCAAAGTATTAATAACTGAATAAAGCAAAGTGCATTAGACAGCTCCCAGCTAGTAAAAACCCTTTACACGGACATCCTAAGCTTCTATCTTCTCGGCTGGTGCATCAAGCATCAGGGCCTTCGTCGGCTTCGCCAAAATGTCAGTGAACTCCTGGTACGGTGCCTTGGTGAAGGTCGTCTCCCTCCAGAAGTCAGGGGTGAGGAATCCATAGGTCTTCATCAGGCAGTCGAAGGTTGCCTGGAAACAAAAGAATTATCAGCACATGTTGGCAACTAGTCAACGCAAGCAGGAATACATTCAACCTGACTGACACGAGTTAAGATCATCATCTATACAGATGAAAAGAACTGACTGGTGTGAAATAGAACAAATCATGGCACCCATAGTATAAACAGAGAAGAGATTAGATGTTCAACCAGAAATGTCCAAAATGGTTGTAATACACCAGTATCACCCTGTTAGGGTAGATCCTCAACCAGAAATGTCTAAATGGTTGTAATACATGAACACAAAATGTATTAGAACACGTGCCAGGATTCAGCAACTCAAAAATGCATTACATGAACTAGGAAACATGAAAAGCATCTATACAAATGAGCTGAACTGTTCAAAAAAGTTGCAATACATTTTCAATCAATCAATTGAAGAACAAGCAGAGCATAAAGCAGATAAGACACACAAAACATAGACAACCTTAGGCTACAGTTGCACTACAATTTCCAGAAGAATTGCTTCTAGACTAATCAATTGACATAGACCAAACTGCATCAAGTGTAAATCAGCAAAGCCCCTTCTAACAGTACACAAGCTTGTATCTAACAAGTATAAAAGTTCACAAGCTGCACATAGCAATCACTTCCAAAACAGAATTATCCTCATCACCATGTTATGCAATGACTTCATGTTATTGGAAAAATTGGTATTTGTTGTTTCGGCCATCATGCTGTTAAACGAGAAAATGAGAAGTGACATATGTACTCCCTCTTTCCATCTATATAGGGCCTAATGCGTTTTTCAAGACCGCCTTTGACCATTGACAAGATTAATAGTACATGAGATGTATAATGTGAAAATTATATCATTACAAGCTCCATTTATATATAAATTTGACGGTATGCTTTGTGTAAGTTGCATGTCATATAATATTGCTTTAACATTTGATCAAAGTTAACCTCGAAAAACACATTAGGCCCTATATAGATGGAAGGAGGAAGTATATTGTTTCTTAATGGCAAAGGCATTTTCTGAAAGTATTTGTAGGAACTGGCAAATGCAGCAACAATATGCAATTAACTGCATTTATCATCATGTAATTCTGCGTGTCGTTATTTCATCAGCGGAAACATGGAGCCTTTGAGGTAGATGAAGAGCTCAACTCAACAATGGCAGAGAATGAAGTACTTTGGCGGGTACATTTTTAGAAATTTATATTCTGTCCAAAGATGAAGGTATGTTGTTGTTATCATAGCATTACTATGGATAGCATATTTATGCAGACGTCTTCATCTTTTTATCTGCAGCTTCAGCATACTTAAACTGAACATTCTACATTATGCACACATGATACAAGCAATTATGTACTGAAAATAAAGCACCAATGATGGGAGCATCGCAGAATACGGAAAAAGGCAGGGGATGTTTATACCTTGACGAAGTTGCCGAGGGTCTTGGTGGATCCACGCGAGGAAGTGAAGACGTCATCAATACCAGCGAACTGGAGCACCTTCTTGGGGACGCGCGCGGCGACGATTCCAGAACCCCTCGGGGCGGGCACCATGCGCACGGTGACAGAGCCGCACTTGCCGGTGACCTTGCAGGGCACGGTGTGGGGCAGGCCGATCTTGTTCCCCCAGTAGCCCCTCCTAACGGGCACGATGGAGAGCTTTGCGAGGATGATGGCGCCGCGGATGGCCGTGGCCACCTCCTTGGCGCACTTGACGCCGAGCCCGACGTGGCCGTTGCTGTCGCCGACGACGACGAACGCCTTGAAGCGGGTCCGCTGGCCGGCGCGGGTCTGCTTCTGCACGGGGGTGATCTTCATCACCTCGTCCTTGAGCCCCGGGCAGAGCTGCTCCACGATCTGGTGCTCCTTGATGGGTAGCGAGTGGAGGTAGAGCTCCTCCATCTTGGTGAAGCGGCCCTCCTTGACGAGGCGGCCGAGTTTGGTGACGGGCACCCAC